AGTACACTGCAGACCGTTCGGGGTTATTTGAGTGCTGAAAAGTTGCCATGGATTCTGTGGCAGCCTTTGAAAAATTGCTGAATTAAAGCTATACTGGCAGCGTCAACTTTTGATCGTCTGTTTTTTCTCGTCTGGACAATAATGAATCCAAACATTTTTATTCTGCTGAATTTTATCTGCAATAACATGGTAATATGCATTATGTGTGCTGTGCAGATTTGACGCTTTGCTACCACCTGGAGGTTTGTCGCGATTACCGGCCCCTCTACTCGAGCTAGCGAAACGTGCACAGGCTCGTAGTGGCCCAGACGCCACAAAGGTGACGCTGCCTGGCGCACACCTCGAATTCATTGAATCTTGTCCATCTCCAAGGCTCATCAAGACGCACTTGCCGCTTTGTTTATTACCTGCCGACGTCAGACGGAAGAAGTGCAAGGTTTGAGTCTATTTATTAAAATTTTGAATTACAAACAGGCCTCCCTAGTTTCATTATGATGACGCTATTAAATAGGACAGAGAGAGAGAGAGCGACTGATATCTTTAGGCGCGAGAAGTCAAATTTTCCATTTTCAACTTATCATTTAAAGAAGAGGACGCCAATTCAGAGAGCACGCAGAATTTTTATTGAATTTCTCTTAAGATTTTTTTAAAGCTGTTACCATCACCTCCATTCATTTGAGTGATTTCAGAATTTATGTTTCTCGACGTTTTCGTGATGGTTACTCGCTGTGCCACCTAGCAAGTGCCTTAAAAATCTATTCAAACCCTCTCGAACGATCTCACTGATCAAAATACAGTACTGAAAATGCACTTGCTTACGGCATTGGTGGTTCAAAATTGGTAATTAAAAGTATCGGAAAGTGCTAAAAGTATGGAGAAAACGGAGCGTGCTAAAAGTAGTGTATATGCGTTATATAATCCAAGAGATACAGGAATTGCGTTAAAATCGGCTGAGAATGTTTTAAAGGGATGGATGCCATGACTAAGATTAAGTTAATTTTCAAAAAACCGGTCATGCATTTTTTCGAATATCACATAGAAATAATGCAGCCCAGCATACGTGTGTTCTTATATAGCGTATTCATCGCATTATAATTTTAATGTTTGGAATCCCTTTCAAAATTAGTCTTCCGTTTGGTATGCATGAGTCAATTTCCGAATGAGTGATTAAATTTCTTAGTTTTCATTAATCACCTCTTTTATTGCAGTCAAACCTTCAAATAAATGGTGATATTCTAGGCTTTGAACTGATTTTTAAGAGTTGACATCAGGATGCTGAATTTGGTGGCAATGGCCGGTTCATATTTGGCCAATTAGTCTTTCACTTCATCCTTTCAAAACGTAGCATCAAGTTAATTTTTATCGCCTTTCTCTTCCCTTGGCTGTAAATAAACTAGTGAACAGGCCTCCAGGAAATTTGAGTTATTTAGCGGTTTTTAATTTCTTTTTTATAATAGGATATGGACAAATCCTTGAAAAAAGATTTAACATAGGGTTGGACATTCGACTTTGGGAGGTTCCAGTTATTGAGGTTCAACTGTACAATATACTCATTGTATCCTTAAATGAAAGTGACCCATATTTTGCGAGTGAGGTGTCGTTTTGAATCAGCTCATTGTCAAATTTGGATCAACAATATTAGATATTCGATGTTCCGCTGTTGAGCATTGTGCTCTCATTCTCGCAAGAAGTTCGAGGATAAATTCTTTCTTCATTACACATTCTCAGGTACATTGCAATTTTTTTTTTACAGATTATTTACGTCGCCCGGGATTCGCGCGATGTTTGCGTTTCGAGCTTCCACCTGTTCAGGGGCATTGGTGGTTACACAGGGTCTCTGGAACAATACTCGACGAATTTCGTCAAGGGCACAGGTAAAAGCTCAGTTCCTACTGTATTTCCTTCTTCAAAGTGCAATAAATTTTCTAAAAAAAATAATGGTTTTTTATTTTTATTTTATAGCTATGTGGGGACCGCACTGGAAACACGTCATGGATCATTGGAAACTCAGGAACGACCCAAACTTGTTGTTTCTCACTTACGAAGATATGAAAGCGGTTCGTTCGTCTGTCGCTGTTTATTAACATGATTTTTTTTAAAATTTAAACTGATTATTATTATTGTTTTTATTTAGGACCTCTTGAATGTGATCCAGCGGATATCAGCGTTCTTGGGCAAGAAGCTGGGACCGGACGGTGAAAAGAGTCTTGCGGAACACGTTTCATTCGAAAGCATGAAGTCTAACGAGGCTGTTGCTTTTGAGAAGAATTATGCTCAGGTATAATTATTCTCTTCATACCTCGCTGAAAAAATTTTCAATAAGCAGTATTCGGATTGACGGTTTCAGATTAATTTGAGTGATTATCGAGTCCTAAATTTCACGCGAGGAAAGTTTCCGATGGCCTCCGATTCATCTTTCTCAGTGTTAAGTGGTTCGAAACTGGTTAAAAATAAGTTTTGATTCTAAAGAAAATACATTGTATGAGAAGCCTCCAGGTTTTTTATTCGTTCAAGGACTTCTTGACATGGATTAACCCTTAATTCGATCAAAATTCAGCGTGATTGAGCTGTGGTCTGATCTGCTGTATGAAAGAACACATCTCCGTATTGAACACTTGGTTGGTGTCTAACAGAAGAATGAGTCATGAACATTTCTTCTATACAATATTTTAATTAGGATAAACGTGCTGAACAGGAAGCCATTACGAATTGAAAAGACGAAAGTGTTTAAATACGACGCACGTTTTTGCTATAATAATGGCTTCTTCAGAACATACCTTTTCGGGAATGACTGGCCTTAGAATGACAAAAAAAATGCAGTCCTTTATTCGGATGCCGAATGAAGGATTGTTTCTTTCATTTAATTGATTGGAACTTTCTGTAATACATACATTAAAACTTATAGCTCAAAACTTTTGCGATAACCTAAGAATTTATTGCTTTAAGTATTCATTACTTTTTTAATTAAAAAGTATGCGATTGGAACTGTTCATGGCACAATTCATCATTCGAAGTTTTCAAGTAGCCCAAAAAAACTTATGTCGCACATATATGTTGAATTTTCAGCAAGAGAGTGTGAGGTTCTCAAAATCGTCTCGTTAATTTAAGAAAAATTCGCACTTTATTTAAATTTGCCGCGTAGCAATCAAAGAAAATATATCCCCGACAATTTCAAGTTTTCACTCTGCAAAAGAATTTGATGCCACATATCTGTTGATTTTTATTTCTCTAGAGAAAAATAATTGCCTCGTTTATTGTGAAGAAAAAATGAAAACAAATAAACACAGCGTTAAGAAGAATTTTCCCCTCCCATTTCTAGGAATTTTTTTTCTCTTCCCATATACTTCCCACAGTCAAAATTTCCTCCTTTTAAGTTGACTCCGGTTTATGGACCGCCCGGCTTATGGATTTTCGGGTTACGGACCATCTCCATTTCCAAAAATCTGCCCGCAGACCATAACCCGGCTTACAGACCACAGCCTATAAGTTGTTTCCCGTTTCGCTGACTTCAAAAATTTGTTAAAAATTCAACTTAAAACATATTTTCACATTTTTTCTCTGCTGCATGCAAAAAAATGTTTTCTAAATTATCCTAATGAATGAATGGATGAACAGAAAATAAAGCTTTCTGTTCATTCATTTATTCAAATTATCTTCTTTTTAAACATGCATAAATATAGAAATTTGACATAATTGAATCCAAAAATGTAAAAACTTTTTTGAAAATCGTACATAATGTGAATATAATCGATAATCCGTATTCAAAAATATTTTTCTTTGATCCTTGTAGGTGACGGAGCGAGTACTGAAGCCTGTCACGGAACTCGGCCTGTCGCTCGACAACCTGATCGCCATCGCTGTCGACGGCCGCATGAGCCGCGTACCTGTCGGCAAAATCCTCAAGCTCGTCGTCAGCGGGAAAATCCCACTGAGTCTCGTGTCCGCCCTCNAAGCCTGTCACGGAACTCGGCCTGTCGCTCGACAACCTGATCGCCATCGCTGTCGACGGCCGCATGAGCCGCGTACCTGTCGGCAAAATCCTCAAGCTCGTCGTCAGCGGGAAAATCCCACTGAGTCTCGTGTCCGCCCTCGTCGCTGCTCGTCTCCAGAACCGCCCCGTCCGCATCACCGCCTCGCAAATCTCCGCCATGACCGGCGGGTCGCTCACCCCGGAATTCTGCTCGGACATGCTGGAAATCGGCGGCTATTCGGCGCCTGTCCCGTCACCCGACGTCGTCGTCACCCCTAAACCCACTTCTGCAACAACCACCACCACAACCACCACCACGCCGACATCAGCGATGACGACGACGAGTAGTAATAAAAAGGCGAACAAGAAGAAGACCGAGAAGTCTAGTAAGCCAGTGTCGTCGGTGTCGGTGTTGGACGCGAACCCGAGCCCGGATCCAGCAGTGAAGCCCAAGAAGCGCAATAGTGGGTTCGCATGGTTGAAAAAGGCGTTCCCCCAACAACCCCTACCTGCGAGTTGCAACAGACGACGCGTCTTGTGACGTAAACTGCTAATACTGTTCTAAGTAAAACCGCTAAGTCCCAACGGGATGCGGTTTATTAGAATTAAAACAAACAAAGAAATAATGGCAGGTGCCTTGCAGTATGATGAAGGAAGGGAAAAAAAATTCTCAGCGATATCTTGAAAACATTTTTTTTTTTTTGCGTGTGCGAATGTCTGCATGCTGCTATGTTTTTCGCGATATGCGCAGAATCAAGTTGAAACAAAAAAATATGTCCAGTTCATCGGTCCCACCTATCGAAAAAAATGTTTTCAATCCACCTTTCATGTTCATATCATTTTTAGCAACTGAGATTTATGGCTATATAATTTATTAGACTTGAATCATTAAATATTTCCCAGTTTATGTGAAATGCTTATTGAATTAATTTGTCGACAACAAAATTTCGCATCAATCCCGAGGATGCTGTGCGTAATTGGATTCTGGGAATTTTATTTTAGCAGATGATGTTAGGATTAAATTTTTCTTTCAATCATGCGCGTTCTTTGTGCAAATATCAAGGAGGAATTTATATTTTTATGGCAGGATTGATTTCCAGTGATCAAGCGATGATAATTTTTTTTTGCAAGTGTCGTCGAATGACAGTAATTGTGGTTTTTCTGCGTATTGGAACGAATTTCTTGTGAAAATGCGGACATTGCGAATATTTGCTCATTTTTTTTCTGAAAGAATTGGGGAGAGAGATTTTTAACCTTTAGCCAAAATTACACGCAAGGATTGATAAGGAAATGGAAATAGGTCGTGGTTCATGCGATGAGGTGTTTTCACGTGAATGATTCTTGAAAGAAAGATATTTGAAAAATTCATTGCATTTATTTAATTTTCTGGGCCACACACACATTCAGTATATTAAAGAAATGCGAACGATCTTTTCCAAACTTAGTTGATGGCCCCTGGAAAAAAGTCAGTCGTTGTCTACTTGAATTTGGAAGTCAATTTTGTGTGGAATCACTGGAATTCATGAATTTAGCATTTTCTCTCAAGTCTCGAAAAGTGTACTGTCTCATTCACCCTATTTCAGAACGTGTGTCCTCTATTTCTATAATGAAGGTCGAGTTTTATTTTTTTAAACTCTTTTGACACGAAGCTCGTAATGTTATGGTCCTAACTGGCAGAAATGTTTCTTTTAGCGCTTGAATTACTGCGTGCTTATCTTTACTAGCTGGATTTAAAAGAAAGATCCAGTAAGAGATCTGTAATATGTAACAAAGAAACCTTATTTGGCGAATTGACTCGAAAATCAATGCAAAAGAGGTTTAGGAAATTTCGGCCAACATCCGCAAAAGTAGTGCATCAGTTCGGATAGTAAATTAATTTCGAAGTCAGTGGAATTTGAGTGATAATGCATTGTTCGTAACTCACGATAGAGTCGGGAATCTCGGAATACTCGCAGATACAGGCGGCTGTGCTGGTTTTGTTGAAAATATGGGACGGACATCTAGTGAGTTGATAACAACCTGAAGGATTTCTTCGAACAAAATCTTGCTAGATGTCGTGCGTGGAATCTCGGAATACTCGCAGATACAGGCGGCTGTGCTGGTTTTGTTGAAAATATGGGACGGACATCTAGTGAGTTGATAACAACCTGAAGGATTTCTTCGAACAAAATCTTGCTAGATGTCGTGCGGCTTACTGTACGAGCATCGCTTTATGATCCAAACCTGGTTTTTTTGCAATTCGAATGTTTATACCCAATACCATGTCAAAATAGGCAAATTTTACGCTCAGTAAAAATGCCATTTGTAGTATAGAATGCTTCTTCGCAAATTATAAGTTGAAAATGCATCCTGTTTATCACTATTTTGAAGCTAGCCTGAAAAACCTTATGCTCTCGAGAACGGTCTCCAGCAAGAGTTGCCAAATACTGTGTAGTGTGTACCAATAAATATTTTTTTAAGTCTGCCACAATAGACAATGATAGCGTCTCCGTTAACAGATTTGTAAAGCATATTGTTTGCAAAGCAACCGCCACTGATTTTTGCTTCGGATTTGAGTCTAATTAAATTCTACCATTAAAACGAATCGTGTCTCTTCAGTCTTCACTGCTGACTTGCTGAGAGGCACGACAGTAAATTATTACAATCTACCGCTGTAAGACTTTTATTAAATCCGCAGTTCCATCTTGATAATAGTAATAAGATGACGACTCGAGTGAAGCTTAATTTGCTGCTCGTCTCTGGAAGAAAGAACCAACTGGTGCTGGCGAGTCGACACGGCGGTGGGACCCACGGAGGCCCTCACGTGATGGGCAGCGATTCTGGGCGATGAACGACTCACTTAGAGCCTTCTGGCTATAATTAAGAAATTAATAGGCATTAAAACCCCGCGGGAGAGCTCCAACTTGTATAATGAGAGCCGATATACATGAAAGGAGAGCAACGCGTGACTGTAGCCTTTTATAACCGCGCTTCGTCGGCTATTTTTCGTCGTTGACGAACAAATAATGAAGCCACGAAAAATCCAGGGGAAATTCTTGAGCTGGTCTCCAGAGTTGCCGAATATGCTAATTAAGATTCCTCGTCGTCCCTCGCATTGTTTCGACATAGCTATTAGCATCGACGTAACTACCGCAGAAATTAGCCCGTTTTGCCCTCATCCTTAATGGAACAAAATCCACTGCGAGAGAAATAAAACAGGTAAAATATGCTGCTCGTTTCATAATGAAGTGCTATAAAATGTCCGCGGCTTCAGCATCAACGAAAACATTAAAATAACTTCGTTTATGCTTGTCGAGAGATATGCACACTTTCGAAGAAATACTATGAAGTGCTGGGGAAAATATCGACGACATAACCTTTATGTAAAGCCTTTCATATCCTACTCATCAGCAGTCGGCAGCCACGAGTTTTGAGAATAATCCGAAGAATGCCCTAAACATCGAACACATGGTCTCAAAATAAATTCTGATGCAATTTTTCTGTTGGGATCTGGCATCATAACCATGGTTTTATTTAGCTTGGATGATGAATGCGATGATCAATTGTGAACGCGACGTGCATGCCATAATCGGTAGTTTTCGTCTGCTCAATAATTTATTCGAACCCTTCCATAAAAATAATGGCCGAAAAGCAACTCGGGTATCTAAATAGGTCTGAGCGAGTATTTCCTCGACCTAATTTGAAATTCATTTCGCATGATTACAGGACAAAAATTAAATCAGCGCAGAAAATGGAATTTGATGCATATTAATATGGGGTTCACGCACTTCTACTGTCAATTTTCGTTCAAATTAACAAACCCTGTCCAATACGAAGCCGAAATGCAAAATGCAGGCGCAGATTTCACTCCAGAATTGCACATCTTGAAGATCCGACATTTATTTTTCAGTTTCTCTCGAATTTTATCGCCTGTGTTCTGTACATGCGCCATCTGTTCATTTTCAATCTTTTGATAAAAAAAAATTGCTGAATTTCCTTCGGAATTTTATTGCCTGCATTTTTATCCGCTATCTTTTCTTTACCGATCTTTTGATGAAAAAATTGCTTACAATTAACTAGTGAAATTATAAAAGATCTGCTGAACTGGGAAGCCTTTCGACAGTTATTATCGACGCTGGGTAATTTTTCAAATTCTGCTTTAATATGAATATAGCGCATCAAAATCTTCAAGAAGCAATATACTGTATATTGAAAAACTGTATATACAGTAGTATATTATTTCTTTTCCCGTGGGATAATTTTTTTTAATTGCCGAAGATACTATATAATTTACAATGTGATGACTGTCGATCGGGGGATTCAAAATGGAGCATTTTGGCAACACTAGTGTCCCAAAACCTCCCAGAAGGACGCCACCGGCGTCGACCAGATTCTCGGCGAGGCAACCTCGTTAAGAGACAGCGGCGGATGACGAGGATCGAGTATCCGGAATTTTAAGCCCGTTTTTATTCGGCTTTTCGAAAACTTGAACATCATTATTAACCGCATTGGTCAAAGTAGACGTTGCAGACCGTGAGTCTGGTCCAATTCGTTCCATTGCGACACGACAACGACGAATGAGGGGATTACTCATGGCAGTTTAATTGACTGAGCATTTATTTTTTCTTTCGTCGATTTTTACGGAAGCCCTAAAAGTGGTTCGTGTTCGTTAAGGAGGAAATTTATTAGAAGTACAGTACCATAGTAGCCGTTTCAAAGTTCCATCGAAGAAAAAAAAAAGTACCCTTCAAGTATAACCTATTTTATAATCAACTGTCGATAGCGATTGTGCAGAAATACAGGGAATAGCCAATCATGGGAATAGTTTAAAAAAATACACTGAACTTCTATATGTGATACTATAAGACTATAAGTGATTGATGCGGATGCCATTTTCAATTTTTATTTCTTGACGTTGATGTTCGAAACAAAATTCGGATTTCAGAAAAATTATGCGAAAATTAAGAAAGCGTTGTCGTTGATGGCTTTCGGTAAATGAATAAAATGATCATATCGTCTTTTTATTGAGGGAATTTCGGAGAATTAGACGCTCATGATGAAAATTCTGTTTATAGGCTGGAAATTATTCAAGTTTCTGCGATGAGTCTGCCATTTTAGAAAATACACGGAGGTAATATCAGTATTTATATATTTTTTTAATAAAAAATCGATTCCGGAGGAACGATCTTCTAACATTTTTTCTAGAACTTTATTGGAAGGAAGCAGAGGTTGAATTGATGATTCATCATTCGAAATGTACACTATTTTTTCTCTTCAATTCACCAATTTTTTGTCCTTGTCAAGCAGATAGAAGCTTATAGAGAAGCTGGACCTGACAAGGAAACGAGTTCAGCGCAAATCTATTTGACTTTTCGCAAAAGATATTCTTCGGGATCGTTTGCTGTCTTCAAAAATTATTTGACTGAATGAAAAGTACCATGCGCTGAAATTTATGAAATATAATATTTTTCTTGGCAAACTGCTATGAATCAATTCAAATTTCTGAAGTCAGATTAATATGCAACCTCGATTTTCAAATCTTTGAAAAATTTTTCAGCTCAATCGTTGATTCAACATATAACACTTTGAACATTCAACACCGACAGTTTCAGTCCCATTCAACTTGAGATATAAATTCATGACTTGGGATATCTTTTTCAAACATAGTTGTTTCAAAAATAAACGACAAACTTGTTCTGTCCTCAAGCCCTGAATTGTTTTCAAACGTTTTTCAGACTATTATTCCGACCATATACAACGGGCTATTGTCAGTTGATCCGCATACCAGAAATAATAGCCTGGTTCCATCGGACGGTCTGGAATTTCCGATTGGAATAAAAATTAATTCATCATAAAAACTTCAGGGATTTGCTTTCTGCATTTAAATGCGCTTTTTTTTAACGGCGCAAAAAAATTGAAGGAGGAATCTAGAGTAAAAGAAACTGTATCTTAAAAGTCACTTCTTAAATTTCGAAATTTTTAGAACCCGATAGTAAAGCCGATGTATCTTATTTTATTTCCTTAGAGCAAAAAGAACGAGCCTTAATAAATACATGTGAAATGGAATATATCGTATATATTTCATCAGAAGAGAAGGGAAGGTGAAAAGAGCTCCTGCAGAATGAATGATTCTGAGGATAGCCTATAATTTTCCAAGGATCCTTTCGTTGCACAAGTCTCCACCCATGGAGACTATTTTCCATACGATATATGCTTCAGAAACCGGGAAGTATTGTAGTCGATTATATTGGATGCAGAGACAGCCATTATAGAAGTCAAAACCACGGGTGGTTGATATTTGACCAATATATATGTAGTTATGTACACATAAACTGTACCAGCGTATTAACACAATACAGTGAGACCCCCACATGCAGCTACCTCAACCTGCAGACAATTCACCATAGGGACACTTATTTTCCCAGAAAAAATTGATCAAAAAGGCCTGACATGAGGACACTGACTTGACATAGGGACATTTTGTGATAAAATTGCAAATACATTTCAGGCCAAATTACAAGAAACAGATATGTCCAACCCTAAAATTGAGGTAAGAAAAGTTCTTGGGCATTTCTCTCACCAATTTCACATCCATTTAGCTAATTTTAATCGCAGTGCGCGCGCTGCACGCGGGGACCGCGACTCCGCGTTGAGTCGGCCCCTCGGCCGCCAGCACGGAAAAGAAAGCCAGCTATTTTCGTGTCGCTCCAGTTTCATATCCCAGCCCCTTTTTTCCCAACCACCGGTGTTTCATTCCGTGTAGTTCCGCGTCAAAGCTTTATATTTTTCATCGGCTTTCGGCGAAAAAGAAATAAAAAAGTTTATTAAAGAAGATTATGAAGAAGAAGAAGAAGAAGAAGAACGCTTTTTCCGCAGAAAGATTTAGAGGACCCAATAATAAGCTCCCAAAAGTGCTGTAACCCTGTGTGGCGCGAAAATGTCTTCTACCTGTGCGTGTTTCGAAGCGTTTCCGCGTCAATCTTTCCATTTTCAGTCGAATTTCGGCAAAAACCAAAATGAAAAATACATTAAAGCAGAAGAAGAAGAAGACATTTTCCGCAGAAATATTCCGACAACCCGAGTGCTGTTCTCCTTTAATTGGCGCGAATGTTCTTCTGCCGGTTTTCCAACCATTTCCGCGTCAATCTTTGTTTTTTCATGGACTTTTGGCAATATCGAAATGAAAAAAATACATATTAAAGAAAAAGAAGAAGGCATTTTCCGCAGAAACATTCAGATGACGTTTCCAAAAGTGCTGTTCTCCTCCGTGGCGCGAATGTTCTTCTGTACCAGTAGTGTTTCAAAGCACATCCGAGCCATCTGCTATATCCATGGATTTGAAGAAAGATTAGAAGGAAATATAATGTTTTTGATGATAGAAAAGGTTCAAATAGCCCTTTCAAAAGTTTGATTTCCCCGACGCAAATATTCTTCCACATAATACGGTAGTATTTCACAGTATTTCTGCAGCATTCGTATCCTCGTTGGATTGAAAAACGAAAGAAAAAAATGGTTTCCACTTGAGGATTCAAAATTGCCCTTTCAAAAGTGTGATTCTGTCAGATGATGAACGCGAAGCATTTTTCCATTGCTGGTGTTTCATATGGTATTTCTGCGTTTCATGTCATTCTTATTCCTTTATTTCAAACGCAAACGGAGGAAAACCAAAGTTTTCCTGCGTCTTCCTAGATTCTAGAGGGCGTTCTAGATTTAGAACGCCGTTTGAGAAATGTGATCGTCTCTGACACGAACTTTCTTCTTTCTACTGGTGTTACAATGCATTTCTGCTTTATACTATCGTTTTTGGTCTGAAGAAAAAAAGATTTTGACGAATAGAGAAAGATTTGACTAATTTCAGACAACCCTTTCAAGAGTGTTATTCTTCCTGACGTGAATATTTTTTTCTTGTGGTGTTTGTTTCTCACGTGCTCACGCCATCTCCAGCGTCATCGTATTTCCATCGGTTTGACAATTAAATTTCAATAATAAATTGAAGGTGACCCGTAGAGTCTTCGGAAATTGCTTTTGATAGTGTAACTCTTCCTATAGGCGAATATATTTTGGCTTCCGTCATTCAGGCGATACTTCCTCATTAGTTGGAAACACGAAATGGAATTTTGGGTGATATATTTGTATCACCCAAAAAGGATAGATTCTGGAACGGAATTGAGTAACGCAACGCTTTCTTTTTATGACGCGATTATCTCCTCGGTTAAGTTTCATCCGACGATATGTGTTCTCATTCTGCATCATCGCATTTTATAGAAGAACCACAGAACATGGTTTCCATCCCGAGAAAGATCCAAAAATTCCATTTCAAAAGAGATAATCTCCGTGGTAGAAACACTCCTCCGTCGGTGCTTCATATCATTCTGCATTCTCAAATTCTTGGTGGACCTGACGACGAACGAAGTCGAAAAAAGAACGTTTTTAAAAGAAGAAGATTCAGATTTTTAAAAATCCAAGAATGGAAAAATCCACGTGGCAAATATTTTAATGCCGGTTTATATTCCATTTTCAATTCAATTTTATTCATTATTCTATTTTTGCATATGCCTATTAGCTTGACAAACGGAAGGAAAACCACGTTCGGTACGTATCGAGAGATCCAAAATAAGTGCAAGTGAAGTCTCCTTGGCACGAATGTGTGTCTATATGTGTTTCCTAGTATTTTTATACTTCTTCCTAATTCACCATTGACCTAAAATAAAGTACTATATGGTTTGTACTCAGAAAGAATCGTAGAGTTATTTTCAATGTGCAACTCTCACTGGGGTGGATGTTTTTCCTTAGATGTTTCGTACCATTTCACATCATGATTGACTCAAAAAGATTGACTCAATCACGGGAAAAAATAATTTTTGTAAGTAAAAAGCTTCAAAAATACATCTAAAAATTATACTCATCCCGACGCAAAGATCCGATACACAATTACACATTCCGAAAGCGTAGCTCGATTCGCGTGATTCACCGCTGATGCTATTACAGTATTTCAAATTCTAAATTTTGAATAAAATTCAGCTTGATTGAATGTTCATATTTAAATGAAAAAGCTTTTATTAGAACTGGAATTGAGATTGTCTAGGCTAATCCCTCGTGCCTTCGTCCAGATAATCAAATGACTAATCAAAAATTGTAAGAACAGGTATTCATCCGATGGCGGAAAATTTACTCATAATCAGCGATACAATATTACTAATATTTCGGATTCATTTCTCTGAATAAAGAGTCGATCAAACGGAAGTTGAGCGGGCCCAGTTAAAATTGGAACGAAAATTGGCTTGTTTTCTTTGCTTCATCAATATTCGAGTACAGTTTTATGAATATATATAGTCTGTCAAAGCCTAGATCATCAAAAATCTCTTCAATCTTATTCTGCCGTGTATCAAACCATTGGAAATCCGTTTTTGCACTTGCTATGCTTTTGAACAAACATTTTGAATACCACGTGCATTCAGATCGACGATCCGACCGGAGAAATTACGAGGTAAACACTGCCTTAAACGATTTCGATTCACATGGTTTTACTCCTTGATCACACAAAATGAATGCTGCACATATTTATAATTTATTCTTGAATTCCAAGCCAGATCAGGTTAGAAAAGTTATTTGAATGTATATGGGCATACGATATGGCGTTACTCCATTCACTCTATTTTCCCAGCAGAAGTTTTCCAGTAGTAGAATTACGGTATGTTTTGGCTCGTCTTCATCATATCAAGTCGCAGAAGTTGTTAATATAGAACTCCAGGAATGATTGAGATTTTGAGAGCGAATTGTTCCATTTTTTATATCAAGATGATTGGAATTCAAGCAATGGCGATCTTACTTTTGGAGAAAGTCGATCGAATGGTTGCCCGGGTCGACCACACGGCCGCGGAAAATAAGTGTGTACCAGTGATGAAGCGAAACAATGTTAACAAATGCAATTGCCTGGAAAAAAGTGACCGATGTTATCCGGGGGAAAATTCGACACTTCTCGACAATTATCAATTAAGAAAACGCTTGATGACCATATGTCGGATGCGGAGTATAACATAGCTCGCATGCAGTGTTCAGGAGGATCAACTGCGGACTTGGCAGCTAAGGCAGCACGTTAAGAATTTACAAGCTCGTTCATTAGGGAACAAAACGTGTGTCTCATAGAGTAAATGGACGAGACGTTCGTGCTCAATTAAGAAGAAAATTGTGTGACTATTCCGGAATGAATAGAAATAAAAGTTATTTCCGAGAAAATGGAAGAAAGAATATCATCCTTCAACAGCTCTGCTTGGAAGTAATTCATCTAATTTTAAAAGTTTTATAAAGATAGAGCAGGTAAAAATTCTCAAATATAGTCACGCTGGTATGTGTTCGATTTCAACGATTGAAATTATGTACAAGCTTCTACCTTCGTCTTCTGGGAACAAGGACTTTTTCATTGAGCTCTTAAAAGATACGTTTGCAACCAACTTCGGAGTTCTTCATTCCAAGATACTGTAATATTTTAATCGTCAGCAAAAATATCGTACTTGTGAAATATGAAACCGATTTCGTATCATTCTGAATTTAAAACCACGAAGCTTCAATTTTTAGCCATTATAATTGTTCCCTCACACGTTTTATATACATCTAAATGCTTCAACTGCAGTTCTACGCTCAATAACTAAGTGCTTTAGAATACAATTAAATTATTAAATTAAAATGTGAATTACTCTACTTTGTATTGATTCGAGCGTTTCGGAAATTTCGTACATACGGTCTTTTCACTTTGGGTTACGTTCTAATTTGACGATCTACCGCGAACAGAATGAACATCAATTTTAAAAACCATTCGATCAAAACTCCGAACAAAAAATGAGTTTAATTAGATCGATAAAAAAGTCTCAAGATATTATGAAGATTATGGTTAAATTTGATGCCTGTCCTGGTAACAGTAGGTTTCAACTGGAAAAGTTTGACTCTTGGTTTCATTTATTGAGATATTCTTTCAAAACAGTTTGTGAATTATACAAATAAAAATTTACGATTCAGCGGTTGCTGTACCCATATTTAGTATTGAAATACTTTCGGGATGCTTTTCAATGGAGCACCGACAAATCCGTAAATTTACCAAGGGATAATTCAGAGGTTTTATTCCGTACTCAAAAAATACTTTTTGGAGTGAAAACACGCTTCCAAGGCAGATTTCTCCAGTTATTGTGGGGCCGATAAAAATATCTAAAGCAGGCATGTTTTCCCTTGCTAAGAATTCCCTCGTTTTCAAACCTCTTTCCGGTTAATTTCTTGCTCATCAGTTGACAGTTCCGGGTTAATTCACAGATTTAGTTGCACTAATATGACAATATCCATGAGTATAAGAGTATTTTTTGAGGTTTAAACTCTGGAAACGCATCATTAGGAAGCTTTTAAATCGTGTCAGTCGTCATAATGCCCTTAATTACTTCTCGTAATCCCCAAGATATTCATGAGTGAGTGAGTCTCTTTCTCGAGACTTGATAGAGCACTCAAGTTAAACACTAAAATCAATCAAAAAATAAATTTATATACTGATTTGTGTAATCGGAACAAATCGCAAACAATTACGTTTGACTTGCCCAAAAACTTCCGTTCACTGCGAAATCTCATTTCTGCATTTATATTTCCAGGAAAAAAAAAAGAGGAAAAATCAGTCCTCATCGACAGCAGCGCAAAAAAAAAAAAAAAAACGCGCTCCCTTTCCGGCGTTCCTATCAATAAACAATAATAATAATAGCACCAATTAATTGAAAGAAAAAAAAAATAACGAAAACGCGGACGCCACTTTCTCCGCAACGCGTGCCTTCATGTTGACCGCCGTCGGGTGCTGCGAGGCAGGGACGACAGCACAGCAGCAGCGGCGGTGGGCGGGAGCCACGGCGGCGGCGACGTCGAGTTCCGTCGAGGTGGATGAGCAGCAGCAGCACGCGCGACACCCGCAGTGACGAGGCCCGTCTCAGCATGACCGTGGACGTGCCCAAGTCGCCGGCCTGCGACGTGGTGGCGACCACCTGCGAAGCCCGCAAACATTTCTCCACATTCTCCGTGGCGTCCCTGCTCGGGAAACCCGCCGCGAATCACCGCTCCTCTGCTGCCGCCGCCGCCGCGAGCAACCCCGCCACCATAACTGCGTCCGCCGTCGAGCGCCGCCGCGGAAGCCCCGGTCGACCCGAATCCGCCCTCACGTCCATTCGAAACCAAAAGGCTGACGACGAAAGAGAAGCAGAAGATGACGACGACGACGACGATGATGATGTTTCGGAAAGAGATCATCATCTTCATCATCAGCATCGGTTTGTCGCGGACGGCCGACTGCCGCTCCGTCATCACGACGACGACGTCGTTGAAGACGACGACGACGATGACGAAGGCGAGGAGGACGAAGAAATAGATCCCTGCTCGTCGCACGACGACGAAGACGACGATGACGAGTTGGCGAGGAAGGGGGGATCGGCGGCGGCGGCGGAAAGGTCGCCGGCAGGCAGTGCTGGAGGGACGCCCCTGGGATTCCCACAACAACAACAGCAGCAGCAACTGCAGGCGCATTTGCACCGCCCGATGCCGTTTTTGCCGAACGTGAATGTTTCGGCGGCGGCAGCGGCGGCTGCTGTATCCGCGTCGCTCTTTGCGGCGCCGCCGACTGGGTTTCCGGCTTGGGCTGCTTCTTCTGCTGCGGCGGCGGCCGGGGCGCCCGTGTCGCATGTGCCACAGATGCCCTGGTTTCCTGGTGCAGGGTCTATGCCTGGGCTTCCGGAATCCCTCAGTGAGTGAAACAAACTTTCATTTCGACGCATTATTCTCCACAGCAACAAAAAAGTGACACCTCAACATCAACAGCTGCAACAATGTGCCAGCAATTGCAACTCACCACACGTTAGAGATTTTGCTTCCAAAAAGAAAATAAAATAAAAGGAAAATACGAGGAAAATACTGTAGTTACAATAAGTAAAGGTGTGTTTCTTGACATTTGCATTTAATTTATATAGAGTATTGTATTGATATCAAATATTATTTTATAATATTGAAAAATCGATTAATTTTCAAGGTTTTCATCTTACATTAAATTAAACGCATTACACTGAAAAAATTCCCGGAATAAGATCATTAAAGAAATTCGCAAAACATGGATTTTTGTTCCAAGAGCTAAAGTACTTTCAGAAGGTTAGGAATCAAAAGGTTATTCAAGCAGAAGGAGCAACATAATACAAGGAATGGAATGTATGAAAATGCAGCTACGCAGAAAATTGGAAATTGAACTCCGAGTTACTTGCGAAAGGAATTTTGAATTTGATCCCTGTCTAATTACAAACAAACACATGGAAACGAAATAGTGCTACAAAATTCGTCGACATAGTTATCATTCATTTGATTGAAGAGAATAATAAATCGGAAAACATCCTTGCTGTGCATACTCGGTGTACATTATATCTAAGTGTCGAGAATAACATGTAAATTTAAAATACAAATTCATCGCCATTTGTTCTCATTCTTAGAAATACAGCATTCTTTCGGCTGAAATATTTATATAACTTGAAAAGTTTTTCAACTTACTGCAAAATGTTCAAAATCCTACAGTTGTTGTTGTTGTTCCCTAATTAACCCACAAATAGCAAACCTGAAAAACGTGAAATGATTTTGAAACCATGTTTTTCAACCGATAGATCGAAGTTAAAAACCTGAATTTAGTCACTCGAAATTCGAATACAATTTTTGATAACTTTGGATTTCAATATTTATCTTTGTCTTACAGCGGTTTATGCGACGATTTGAAGGGCATAAGTAGTTCAAGTATTAATGTTACGGATAAAATGTTATTAAATTTTCAATATTCCTGCTTTCGTTGTCACGAGCTTCAATTTCAAATAAGATCAGCAATATGAATTCATTAGCTTTTCAATCGAATAATGAATTTTAATCCTTCATGAAATTTAATATATTTTGGAACGTTTATAGGGCCGGGAAGTCGAAGTCTGATGATTTAATATACAAGTGTTTTGGCAAAATTTCCGAAAATTCAACATTGGAACAATCACTGGGATTATTGGGATAATAATCAAATGTTTGTTTGACACTTGCCTAATTTGAAAAATTGTGGATTCTCGATCGGCATGCTGGATCAAAATATTCAAAATTGACCTGACACCATATTTGTGCATTCGATTTTAATTTCGATTAATTTACCGTATTTTGAGTAATCCCATAAGTAGAAAATACAAAAAACATTTCCCGGGATAATGTTTCAAAATCTTATCTGGTTCGGCATGTTCATATTTGTGTATTAGAAGCGTTGGTACAAAATATTGTTTGTCCAACGATACATTTTTCCGTATTTAAAATATCTGTATAATATAACCCATCGGAATTGAAAAATTTTGAAGTTTTTCTTCAAGAACAGACATTTGTATGTCGAGTTTTGTCCTGAAGTAATTTTCTGCCACTGCATGTATTCATTTTAGCAAGCGCCATTCTCTGCACGGGGTAGCATTTTCACATGTATTGTACTGCTTAGTGGAAAACAAGAGACAGTGAATCAAAATGTGAAACGAAGTGAATTAAACTTCAAAACAGAACCACACAAAGTTCAACCTGTCGGATTGTCATACTTCTCGTATCGCTCTAAAACAATAAGAAAGAATGGCCTCCGTTCCGATGCACGTTCTCTCTGGAAACTGAAAAATGGATGAAAGCGAGTATAGGAGTTTGGATCCAATCCTCCATTGCAGAATATTATTCCTGCATTGAATAATTGGCCAAAAATGCATAAAATCAGAAATATGATTCCAGATGCATTTCTCATTTTTGTTAAATTTTTGTCAAATATATATAAAAACCCGATTTCAGGCGATCAGTTGATCTGATGAACGTGACTCGTAGATTATCACGACGTAGAAGTTGAAATGATTTTTGCAGCACGAATTTACCTAATAGGCATACTGTCCTGTAAAAAATGAAATAAGAAGGCTTTTTCCAAAATTAATCAATGTATGAATGGCGGAATATGATAATGAATTCCTACAACGTATAATCGCCAATTAGCGTTTCCAACGAAGCGTAATATCCCTTTAAATACATGTACTATATACTCAGCGAATCATTTGAAAAAAATAGCAGAAAAATCAGCGATAGAATCGGACATGTCACAGTGACGAACAATCGGATGATATCTCCGAAATTTCACTCCATATTCGCAGTCAAGCTTGAAATCGAAAAACTCGTACTCTACTAGCTACGAGTACACGCGTCACGGTTGGTAATTATGAATGTTTAGTTGACCAATTAACTCGAAATTTCAGGCCAAATTAGAGTCTTGTATTATGCAAAAGATCAGCACGAATTTTCACTTGCTGGTTGGCTATCAAACAATTCGGAAAGCAATTTTTCCACGCAACAAATTGCGTGGAATATAATATAATTTGAAAATTATGCTACCGTATTTCCAGCTATATATTTCGTATGTTTTCACAAAAAATATTTATTTATAATTTGCGTTGCACGACATCAAACTTGAATCAAACATGTATACAGTACAATATTACCGTACCATCAATTTCGATAATTCTTCATTACTTATGCATAAGAGCGAAAAGCTTAATTTTTACCTCACTCAAATGCGCATTAATTTCAAGATCCCTGAGTTTGTAACTGCTTGACTAAACAATTGGCTAATAATTCAGAAAGGCTTCGATATTTGAATGATTCAACCCAGATTTTTCTTTCAAATGTGGACGAAGCCATTCAAGAGAGACACTGTAATGCGGAGATGACCGCACAAGGCTCCTGATTGATGTCTTCTCTAATTTAAAACTTCATTCTTTGACAATAACTTTTTTATTCTATAATGCAATATATACAAAGATTTTCAGCAGCCTTCGGCCGTTATCGCGCTGATTTCCGAATTCTTCATAATTAACTCATCTACGATTAAATTATTTGTAAACTTCAGCATATTATCCCGGGGTCTTCTGCTTTCGTTGAATTTTCACGAATTCCAGACCGAAAATTGAGTAATTTCAGTGAAGAACAGGATTTTAGACGTTTCATCATGTGCGCGGCTGGAGGATGTCTTTCTTCGGGCGACTTTAACAGAATTTTCTAAAAAAAATTGACAAGAATATAGATGAATAATCGGAATTCGTTCCTTGTCCTTCTTCATCTTTTTTCTTCACGTAGAATCCGGAGACGGATCAAAGGTAGGACCTCCTCCACCCGGAGGCCTCAAGTGCCATTTGCGGAAGCACAAGCCGAACCGCAAGCCCCGCACCCCGTTCACCACCCAACAACTCATGTCCCTCGAAAAGAAGTTCCGCCAAAAGCAGTACCTTTCGATCGCAGAGCGTGCAGAATTCTCCGCCAATCTGAACCTGACCGAGACCCAGGTCAAGATATGGTTCCAGAACCGTCGCGCCAAGGCCAAGCGACTCCAAGAAGCCGAGCTGGAGAAGCTGAAAATGGCCGCCCGGCCCTCGTTCCTTTCGCCACACCCACACCACCACCACCCGCACGCGGGCCACCCCCACCACCACCACCACCACCCTGGTGCCGCCGCGGCGGCATTTTTGGGCCACCCGCATCCGGCGTCGGCGGGCGGGTCGCCGCTGTTCCCGGGCTTGTTCCCGGCGGCTGCAGCAGCCGGGTTGTTTTTCAACTCTGCGGCGGCGGCAGCGGCCCTGCATCATCATCACCACCATCATCACCTTTTGGGGCCACTGGGGCACCACCCGTCGGTGCCAGGGCCGCCACCTCCGTCTGCGCAGCCACCGCCGACGGCGACGCTCACGATGGCGTCCCCGGGGTCGGGGAAACCGCCCAGCAACAGCGCTTCACCCTCCGCATCGTCCTCCATTCCATCGACAAGTTCAGCATGAACTCCTTCAGTATGCTCAAAGTTTCATCAGCAACCGTCGTCATAAATGTTTCTGAAACCCCTTCTGTGTTTCAGAAAATTAGTCAAATTTCGGTCATCGATTTTCTTTGCCCGAAAAATTACGCGTTTTAAAATGCGTCTTTAATCGACTTCGTTGCAACATTCAAAGTTTATTTGGGTCTCGAAATAAATACCGATTCACAGTTATATGTTTTTAATATAATTCTCCACAAATTCTTCATCCATTCATGGTCCATGATGTGAGCGACATTTTTGAATGCATTTATAAAGAACGACTGTCAGCATCAATGTCGGTTTTCACAGCAGACTAAAACAAAAATGAAAATAGACAGTACAAGTATTACAATCAGACTCTCGAGGTTTGAATATATGATGCTCAGTATAATGCAGAAGTTCGCAGTAAAGTACTGAGTTGGATGAGGCGAAGGATCAACATCATGTATGTGCCAAACCGAAGAACTGTCGATGCCTGGCATTTTTGAAGACAGAAATAAATTACACTGCAGTTCTTGATGTTAACCCCGAATGTCAATTCATTAAATTTAATATAGAAATAATCTTTTGAAACCATCTTATAGCATCTTTATGGACCAACAATAAGTTCGTCTCAGTCTACGAAATAATTTAGTATCCCCTTTATGACACTGATTCTGGCTATGAACCTTTCTGCTTGTCCAAATGAAATAAATTGCATTTCTCGATTTCCATACATAATTAAGAATGAAAAATATTTTTTTTCCTCGCGTGTTCTCAAAAATTTTTATAGGATAAATTAAACTTGTTTCTGTTTCTGGATCGTGGAAATGATCAGTTAGTAAGCAATGGGGGTTTTATACTTGACCAGCATTGAGTGTGTTACTCGGTCCGGCCGAAAAATCTGGAGGTTACTTTCCAGTGCTTCCGGAAAGTTTGCGTTTGCTGATGATGATGTTTTTTTTTTCTCGATGAAACGCGATGTTGATTGTCTCTCGCGGGCCATACAATTCAAGGCAGTGGGAGTACGAAGAGATGAATAAATTATTGTTTAACAAAACCAAATCGTGCACATTTTTATTTGTTTTTCGAGCTTTCATCAGAAAGGTGTTGCCACGATCACAGATCCATCGGGCTCCCAAAGCGTAGTGGTTGTGTGGCTGCTCAAGGAGAACTAAATACAAAATTACTCTAACATCAAAATCAATAAAATATTGAAGAAGGTAGACATTAAATAATACGCGTAAATTGAGATATTGTGTGGTCTTTGTGATACGGCCTGCTGAGTATGAATGGACTATTATTTCCGTCAATCCAAGTAACATACGTTGAAGATTAAATATTTGTTCCTTTTTCTTTTACTCTGGGAAAATGTATTCAGCGAAGAATTTATGCTAAGGAAATCGTGATGAATCGCTAATCACCGGCCAAAAAGTTTGAGGACCACTGTCATATCCAACGAAATTTTTAAAAGAACCTAAGCACGCTATTTTTATATACAGTAATACAAGCCATTTCTATACATCAAGCATACCATCGACGCCGAAGGTTTGCCATATAACTTTAGTAAATAAGGAAAGTGCTATACATCTATATAATGACTTTTTTGTTGTTGAAATGGTTCAGCTACGCAGTATAGGGCTTCAATTGATAAACTGAACAACTTCCGATAGGTAATTCATTAAAAAGAACAGGATTTGTGTTACAACTAAAACATATGTGTTATAGTATACTGGACTGTACAGTACTTCACAGAATGGATTTATTATGTTCAGTTATTTATTGAAATATGTTTCGATTACGTCGCTCGGATATAATTCTTCATGAATTCTTTGGTGAATTAATACATTGAATTTTAATCACAAAAATATTCAGAGACCTGGGAAAGACTTTGTCATATACTGCACAGTGATATACAATATGTATACCATAATTCAGATAACTTGGAGATTATTGAAGAGGGACTTCGAAAAATAAGGTGTTGTAAACGAGAATCCATTTCAAAGTAATTAGTTTTAAAAAAAACCTTCTATGCGAAATAAAAGCAGCACATTTAAGTTCAAGGAAAATAATAATCACTATATAGCAAGGGCATTCAATGAGCTTTACATTCTTTTTTCTCAAGATGAAAACTACATCACCCGAATTGGCAACTCTCTTTTTTTTGGTTCGTCAGACGTTTTTCCAGTTTTCATTTGATAAGAGTTTCAGGCAGTGTCCTATTTCCGGAACAAAAATCACTGACAGTCCCAGCAGGGTTCACTCCATTGAGCAAAAAGTGGCAATAACCATGCAAGATGTAAATCATCAGGAGTAGTTCTTCAAATGATATTTGCATGGTCTGAGTCATAACGAGAGAAGACCTGCAAATACTGCGTCTTGTGCATTTCAGTCCCACGTCACGACTCACCTGAAGACCTGGCAAACCGTAAATCGACAAAAATCGCATTATTACTTGAAAGAAGAAAGACTGCCATCGAAAGCCGTGGTCATTCGATTCATTTTTTTGTTGGTTTATTGCGGAAATCAAAAGAAGGAAATCCAGTTCTGGGAGAATTTCTCGCCAGAATAGGTTAAAATCCTGAAAATACTGCGTCTTGTCATGAATTTCAGTCCCACGTCGCATGACTCACCTGAAGACCTGGCAAAACAGTAAATTGACAAAATCTCATTACAGTACTTCAAAGAAGAAAGACTGCCATCGAAAGCCGCGGTCATTCGATTCATTTTTTGTTGTTGGTTTATTGCGGAAATCAAAAGGAGGAAATCCAGTTCTGGGAGAATTTCTCGCCAGAATAGGTTCAAATCCAGGTCGCGACCGTATCACAATCGACGCCGACTCCCAGGCGGTGATTGATGGGGCACCAATATTTACCCCCGTAAGCGAGTGGCGCATAAAAGGAAGAATGAGGCATTCAATCCCGAGGGCTCTTTTCCGTCGGTCTCCATTTTGCACCCCCCTATCCCTGATGGCTTTATCGGATCCCATATATATATACCGTACATGTATATACCACCTACGGGTCCCTGTGTCATCCCGATCATGAATAACCAGCGCGTTTATTGCCTGGCGATGTGCTCGCTGATTTCTCCACAGTTGTCGGAATCTGCGACTGAGATCTTTCTAGCTGAATTCCCTGCAATCGTCCCTCATCTAGACCCGAATGAGTGTTGGCTCCATCAAGAGTGAATGTCATTCATGTGGTGGTAGCCGCCTGGATTTTCCGGAGTATTCAGGAAATCATTTTCAGTTTATAGGTGGCTGCAGCGACCAAGTTTCGGAATCCCGTCAGAGTTGCTCCAGTTTGATAATTACTCAAAGAGTTTGGCCAGGCAAAATATTTTCGGAATTTGCGGTGCAAAAATGAGCCCAATTTTAAAAATTCTCGAAGTACGGAGAAAATCAGCGCCTTTATATTGATGCATAAAATGCCTGCATTGACAGTATACTGTGAGGAAACAGGTTCCCGTATTTTCGCTTTCTTGTGAAAACCTGATTCTGGGCAGTTATTTATCCAAAATGCAATAATGAATGCAAGCAAAGCACTGAATAAAAGAATTGGGACCATATCCAAATAAATTTGAACTAATTAAGCAGCAATTTGTTTTGAATTTAAAAGCTATAACTTTTTTTGATGAAAAAACAATAGTACATATATTAAAACTAAGAAGTATTGCTGAAGACAGCTGACGAATGAAGCATGTTTCATTGGACATTTCTCTCAATATCACAGCTCATAGTTTCGACAAACGAAATCACAGAGAGCTGAAAAGAAAGTTGAAAATGAGCAAGCATCATACATCGTCGTCTACGAACTATGGGTCCCTATTTAAGGTATTCAAGATTATTTATTTACGAACATTTTTTTAAATGTCCATCTTGGTATGACAAGAATACGTTTCTTTCAATGTTCGTGTAGAAATGGTCTAATACTTTCAGTTTGAACAGAATTCAAACTTCCCCGTTATTAAATACAGTACGTACCATTGATGTCTCAATTTGTTCTCAAAAATGTTATAAAAAAGCTACAAAAAGCATTTCAAAATATTCAAATTTACTTCTAAATTACGTTTTACTTTTGTACAACAAGAAATAAATTGTATCTGCAACAACCTCAAAAAACGAGGATTTCAAATACCATTCCTTCGCACACCAGTAATACCATTGCAAAATTGCTGATCAAGCATTGAAATGAGGATCGCAAGAATCAGAAAAAAATGTTGCACAGAAAATTCGTATAAACTACCACAGGAGATTCAAACAGTGCAAAAGCGGCAAAATAAAAATAATGAACAAATACTGTATACCATTCACGATTGATGAAACCAAGCCGCATGATTGAACCCAAAAAACCGCTTTTTGTACACTTTTTGAAATTGCGGCTTTGTCGCATGCTGAATGGAACAAAATCGAAAATTGGCAATGTTATGATTAGAAAATTCATTTTTGTGTCCTTATACGTGTCAAGTACTGAATAATTCGCGACAATAGAAATATACCGTACTGCATTTTTCACGTCCATTCGAATAAAATACTGCACTTTGCCGTCGTGAAAAGTGACGAATTTCATGAATCAACACTTAATTGCAAAAAAATGTTTCCTCAATTTAACCATACATGACTTAATTCGCGAACGTCCTATGAATTTGTTTCGCAACAGAAGAACCAGCACTGCAAAATCGACCGGAAAAAAAACCCCCAGCCGACTAAAGCGTAATTTTTTTTCGAAAAAAATCCCCAGCAGACCTGCAATGTGCAATTTTTTTTCTTCTCGCATATATCCTTGAACTGCTCGGCACCCAGTCTCTCTCTCTCTCTCTCTCTCTCTCTCTTTCTCTCTCTCCCTGTCACTGACGTAGTTCCGGAGGCTCTTATCGTGATGTGCGTTTAATGACTGCGACATGGAGACGTCGCCCTATCAGGCCTTTTCGCACAGCTCGTTTCCTCAATTAGCGCCGCATTTTACTCATTCGAATCCCCCCATCAAGCACAACCATATGCTGGTTCCGCAATTTCCCTTCTATGGTCCCAACCCCCCCCCCTCCCCCCTCCTCATTTTCCGGAATACTTTGCTTGTCGGGTCATTTGCTTCGCTCTAAATATCTCTCCCTGGCTCACATTCTTCTAATTCCATCTACTTCGATGTGATTTCAACGTCCCAGATTTTTTGAACAAAGTACTGTACATCAGTACTGAGAAAAAAAAATCTGGGGAAGATTGAGTTCCAATTCGAGTACCTGGAGTTATTTGGTGCAATCACGTGGATTTTAATTAAGGATATGGGAAACGATTACATTCAATGCGCGTTTATTTCTTGATTCATATTCGGAATGCAATTATAAGGAACTCGAATAAAACCATGGCTCAGAGACAAGTTAATTTATACCGTTGGGAAGTTTTTCAGTTCAATTAGATGATTGCAGGAATTCAGGTACAAATATATTTTTCATGCAATTGACCCTTTTCGACTGCATTGATTTTTCCATCAAGCAAACGTAGAAATTCCACTTAAAGTCTCTCTCTCTCTCTCTCGATATTCAAGGGACCAGAAAAAATCGTTTCATAGATAATTTCGTCGCAGAGAACCCGTATACCATGTGGAGAGAACCCTATTGGTCCAAAGAAATTTTTGATAAAGAAGGAAAATTGCTTTAGACAAGATCGTTGTAGAGAATCCACCTGCAAATGGTTTAAATATTAAGATTCTAGATTATAATCTGTACCAACACCAGAGAGTCCCTTCTTTCAGAATTCCGCTTTCAGATAATCTTTTAGCTTTTTTGTAATAGATAAACATACAGCCATAAAAGACTTGTTTTGGAAAATTAGGATAATAGCACAAGAAATAAAATATTTTCCAAAATGATGCACTTCCCATTCCAGTTCACAATGAGGCTGGGTTGGGCGTTGATATAGTTCCGAGACTCCCGAACACTCACTCACAGCGCGAAATGCTCTTTTTTTCTTGTTTCCCGGTATGACGACGATTGGCACGTCAATGTGACGAGATGAACGCGATTGAGATAAGTTTCACCCTTTAATGCGGAAATTTTCAAAGGATAATTTCTCTATATCACCCGCGGGATCCCGATATCCTCAACACTCCTCACGCACGACCAGTTTACACATACAGCATACGGATAAAGGCACCAGTCTTCCGCGCAGTAAACGAAGCGA